AATCGGTTTGGTAAATTGGTAAAACAAGAGAGCCACTTCCCTACTTCGTGTTTTTATTGTAAACCTGGAAAGAAAAGGTTCTGATTTTATGGCTCTTCGTGCCAGGGAAACAAAAGAAAAGGAAAGAAAGCAGTGGGAAGTGATGTGTAAGCTTGTCATTTTCTGTAGTTTCTCTTGCTCTCTTGGGGGCCTGTTAGACAGACAGCTATGCTTCAGTATTCACGCTGCACAGAGTCAATCAGCTGTAAACAATCATCAACATTTTAGAGCTTACTTGCTCACATGGAAACTTAGAAATTAATGTGCTAATTTGTAAGATGATGTGAGTAAGCCTGGTGTAAAAAAAAAAAAAAAAAACACATACAAATTAGTGATTTGAAGCTTAAAATGCTTTGCTTTTTGTTGACAAAGTTTCATGTTTCAGACCATTAAACTATTGTTGATTCCAGGCAAGGATAACCTTTTAAAACTTGGTATTGTGTGGCTTTTTTTTTTTAAACGGCATCTTAATTGTATTTCATAGTCTATGTCGATTTCATGCTGTTGTTGGGGGGGCTTCAGTTCTTTGTTTTACTACAATTTGTGGATTTCCCAATTGATATATGTCAATGACTTTTTAATTCTTCAATTTCCTAAAAGTAGAGAATAATGTAATGTCTTTTAGATCTATTGGCCCATTTCATGTTCTTAGAAGGGTTATTTATATGTTCTCTTTGTTCTCAGCGTTCAGATCTGGGAGAGTAAATTAAACTATGCTTTTTGAAAAAACATGGTTTACCATCAGGTGAGCGTTAGCAGGCGTTCACCTTACCTGTCCAGAGGGAAAGTGACCAGTGCTTAAAAATATTTTCGTACTTCTTTTTTGGTCTGCTTGAATCTGAGCAATGCATCACCAAAAAGAAACCCTTTCTTAGAGCTATCAACGAGATACTACGATTTGGCAAAACCTTGTTTCATGTAAGTTCAACACATTATTCCTGTAGGTGCAGAATCCTTTCCTGTTGACAGTGGCATTCCTTGGTATTGGCAACCAGAATGAAAAATATGTATAGTTTGGACACATCAAAATGCAGAAAACGAATTTTTATGTTATGTGTTTTTTTTCAGTAAAATGAATACTCTACTATACTGAATATTCTGCACCACTCAAGGTCTTTTTGATGAAAAACTTATGGCTCTGACCTTTTTATACATGATTTGGCAATGGAGGAGATTACCTTTTAATATTGCTCCTTGTCTGTTTTGAAACATTTTAATTATGAAATATAATTTGACATGTCATATTTATTTGTGTTATCCTTGGTTTTAAAATCAGTTTGTTGTTGGAGGTTTTTTCACAGTACAGTAGCTGTAAACACATGGCTGAGGTCGGCCGTGCATTTTATTTTCCGGCATCAAATTGATGGCGTGGCCGCTTTGCTCTAAATTAGCCTCTGTGTTGGTACAATACAGTAGGAAGAAAATAATATTTACCTTCAGCAGCAGGGAGTGTTTTGTGATATGAAAATTGATTATCCTAGAAAGATGATTCAAAGCCGCATCCTTGACTAAGTTTGACTAAAAGCCATAATTTTGTGTTTTTTACTTTTTTGCTTTCATATTGATTTGCAAAGTTGTGCCCAAGTTCGGTAGAAACTATGTTTCTCAAGATTATGCTGCAAATGAAGGACATTTGAAATGCATAAGCTCTGGGGAGCACTTGCAGGCAACCCTCTTCCAAAATCTCACACTAGAAATGACAAACATTTTCACACATTTGTGAGCAATTCAAAAGCTCACCATCAATGAATAATAATGGAATACAAAGCACTGCTGGAGAAACTTGGATCATTAGGCTCATAAATCACTAATATTACAACATCTGCTGTAACCATTGTTATAACAATTAACACAATTGTCACATTAATTGACTGTAAATATCATGTTTAAAAATGCTTTTGTAGAAGTTAGAGTATCAATTTAAGCTTTTTACTCTAAAAGTGTAAATGTACAATTTTTAACACTACTTAAAGCATAAAAGTAAAAGAATGCAGGGAATTTTTTTAAGGAAAGATGCTTTAAACCATATACTGTTACTGCACTAGCCTTTTAAAGGAACATTTTTCTACAATTCTGGATGATAACTTCCTTATACTTCATTTTCTTAGTTTTATAACCAATGGCAACCGTGTCAAATTTCACTTTTCATTATCTTGAAAAGCAAATTGCTTGACATGTGGCAAAATACAAGTTGGTGCAGCACCAAGACCAACCACAAAGATATGAATTGCCAGGATGAAAGAAATTATTTTGATAGTTTTTATTTTTTTTAAATACCAAAAGTTCCATAGCGAAAATCAGTTTAAATGAAACAAAATTAACACATCTATTTTAACATATAAGGGGTAGAAGGTAGAGCTCAATGCAACAAAATGTAAGAAGTAAAAAGTTGTCTAAAAAAAAATAATTACTCCACTTAGGTATAGAAGGCAAACATTTCTACTTAAGTAAGATAACAACAGCATTTTTGAGTTATTTGTGGAAGTGAACAGCTACAGTAGAGCATTCAGTGACAGTCTCCAGCTCTGAGGAGCTGTCATGGTCAAGGGCACTTTGTCAAAGGCAGGCGAATTAACTGAGCGTGTTTTTGATGCTGGGAAAAACTGGAGCTCCCGGAGGAAGCCCATATAAGCTCTGCTTGCTTCAGGGTCCTCTTGATGTGATGTGACAGTGCTAACCTTGAAGTCACAGAGATGCTCATATTTGCTCTCTGCCGTTAACCCTGTGCTGGTTTTCACCTGCTCCTGTGGAAAATATCTGGCCCATTAGCTTCCGAATGAATCTTCTTTCTACTCCCGGACTCTGTTGTTTTGGTTCTGGCAGGTAGTGCTGTGGGTTTTCTAATAGATGTGGGTGAAAGGTAGCTTTTTGAAAGGATTTCAATTTCCATTCATATTCTCCATTGTTTAACTACAGAAAATTCTCTAAAAATGGTTTATCTTAAAAACAAGGGATACATATATATGACTTCTTATTTATTACCTTATGTGAAGAAGAAACCAAAACAAAAAGGAAAAGGTCACTGATAATGTTTCTTGAAAGGTGAAACATCACCTATTGCAAATAATGCCAAATAACCTCAAAACCTGGAAGGGTATTCACCTTAACCAGTAGATTGTTTTTTTTATTTTTATTTTTTTAAAGAATGTTGATACTTAAACCAAGTGTCTTGACTGTTTTTGTCTATTTAAGGGATTTTTTTTCTATATCACTTTGAAAAACAAACCTTTGATCTTTGTACTTTAAAGAGAATTTCATTATTCTTGGAATATAACAGATTTGTATGCTTATTTCACTGATCACCAATATTTCACTAAGCCTTTAGTAGCAATGATGGTTTCAAAGTGCAAAAAAGTTTATAGTAAAAATGTATAGCATGAATCAGTTTCTTTAAAACAATTGAGAAGGAATTTAATTTGCTGCTGTTATAATAATCTCAAATGTTGGGGAATAAAAAAGTTTTGCTTTGACAGCAGGTCATTTTAGCTTGTTAGTTATGGTTTATCTGTTTAACTTGTAGGTTCCTTCTTCTGCTCAGGTAGGAGCTTCTGTCACTGCTTAACAAACACTCCACTAAAAAGTTATTTCACAGTATAGGCTGAATAAAAGTATCAACGATTTTTATAGGGGGGAGTGTTGGCCTAGTTCAGGCATCCCCAAAGTCGGTCCTCGAGAGCCTCTGTCCTGCCCGTTTTAGAGGTTTCTCTGCTTTAGAAAAGCTGATTCTGATGATTGCAGTTCAGCAAAAGCCTGTTAATCAACTATCAATGTAAATCAGCTGTGCTGGAGCAGGGAAACCTCTAAAACTTGCCGGATAGCGGCCCTCGAAGACCGACTTTGGTGATGCCTGGCCTAGTGGTTTAGAGCAGTGCAATTGTGCGCTAGTACCCGGTTCGATCCCCACATCCTTAACCCTTAACCCCACAATGCTCCCAGGGTGCTGCACAATGGCAGCCCACTGCTCCCTAAGGGGATGGGTTAAATGCAGAGGTAAATTTCTCCAATGTTAGATCAATAAAGTTAAAATATTATTATTATTATTACAGTTTAGAAAATAGAAGACACTGGGTTAGATTATTTTGTGCTTTTTGTTATTTCTTACAAATGCAGCTGATGTTTTAGTTTTTAATAGGCAAATATTATTGCTTTAACCATTTGTGTTAATTGGATTTCTTTTCATTCATTTGTTTTAAATTGTATCGTTTGGGTTTTGTTCTTGTAAAGAATGAATTCCATCTATTCAATTAAATAAAATACATGTCTTAGTGATCCGAGTTCTCATTTCTGGGGTTGGATGGCTTGATATCTCCCTTTACTATTTCAGTCAACCACACATTTCTCTTGTTTACATAAGAAAAGTCGATGCATGAGAACCAGTGGTGGCTCTTTTGTGAATGCCACTTTTATATAAAGGTGAAAGAGCTACCTTACTCTTGCAATCTGTTTTCAGGATGAATTATTGTGGATAGCCAGATCTGTGGGAAAATGGTTTAAAGGTTTCATTTCTAACATGTTGACTGTACAGTGGAATGATTTCTAATACCACTGAGTGGTTTTTAAGTCCCTTACCAGACTCATAAGCTTTTAAAGTCTTCTTTCTTAAGAACACAGACAGCTTTTATGAACTAACCATGGTGTTCAGTCCTCAGTATTCACCCCAAACTAATTATTTGCGCATTAAACGGGTAAATCTTCTCCAACCTGCATGAGTAACAATTTTCTCATGATGTGAATAATTTGAATTGTGTTGAAGCATACAAATAATAGGTGGTATGCCTATTTATTCCTTATTTATTTCTCACCAAAAGTTATTTTTCTTCAATAAATTTCATACCCTTTTAACTGGTCTGTTGCTCAGTATTTTTAAGACTGAAGTTACTACAGTTAAACTGTGAAAAATCTAAGTAATGAAATACAATTAGCAATTTTGTCGTAATGTTTTATTTTAATTTCTCTTTTAGGTAAGTACGTCTACCAGCCAATGACCAATGTGTGCCAGCTGCCCAGCACCTCCGTGCCGCCAGTGGGATCAGAATGCAGCGACACTATTGACCTCTCCGTCTCTCTGGCTGAGCGCTTCCTGAAACTAGCGCCCAGCTTCCAGTCTCCACCTCACCTGGAGTCGCCCAAGTACTGTGTGATTGCGGATCTGTTTGTGGACGACTACATTGTCAAAAGGATCAATGGGAAAATGTGCTATGTGCAGCGGCCCCTGCCTCCCTTACCAGATCCGCCTCAGCCTTCCACTCCTCAACCGCCCCCTCCGGCTACACCTCCAATGCCCCCTAATCCTAGTCCGCCCCAGCCACCTGCTAGCCCGCAGCAGCCTCCTGCTCCACCGGTCCCACAGGCATGCAGAGAACAGAGACACCTTTCCACTGTTGAAAAGCTAAAAGGCCCTAAAATGGACCACTGCTCCTCCCCATCCAGCTCTGAGGACTCGGGCATCAACGCCCTGGGCCTCCACTACCTGGAGTCCTGCGAAGAGGGAAGTGAGGATGAGGATGGGTTGAGCACAGATGGAAACTCGAGCCCTGGTAGCCTCTGGGATCAGGACGACTGTTCTCTTCTCTCCCCCTCCAAGTCAATGATAGAAATCATCGAAAAGATAGAAACAACTGTGTAACTGACATGCAGAAAACCTCTTGTGGGGGAGAGCCACAGAGCAGCGGCTCCTAACAAAGAATAGCACTCCAGGGTTTTATTTCCCTTTGACTCACAGAGAGCAAACTCCAATCTAGTGCTTCTGCTGGGTGGTGAGAGGTTCCTTCAGGCTGAATCTGCTCTCCTGCAGATGGCTGAGGACTATACAGCCACAATTTCACAGAGCCTCTCTTTCTGTCCGATCCCCCCGCATGGAATTCATTTCTGAGACCTATTGGAATCAAGGATTAAGCTCATAAATCTTAAGAAACTGAATAGTAGATATAAAATGGCTAAAATTCGAAGGTAGAGTAGAAACACTTCAAAACAGTCATGAAAGAAATAAATGATAGTATTTTTTCCCTTGTAAGTTATGGGAGCTCCATTATATATGAACAAGTAGGAAATCTTTGGTGACGATGAGCAGTGAGGTCGTTCTTTTTGTCCTCCAATTGTCAGTCTTCAAAATAATTGAACATCCAAGTGGCAGATAAGGACGCCATCTCTTATTCACTGGTCAGCGACTCCACCCACACACATATTACTTATCTGACACTTCAGCATAATGACTGCAAGGCCAGCTACCTCTCATGGGCCTCAAGCACATCAGCCTTTTAACCCGTTAAAGATTCCCCTCCCTAGCTGCCGATACGCCGCTGGCTTCTGTCGTGTTAGAAAAGAAGCTTTCAGACTCCACAGTTTGTGTGCACTTTACCGACACCATCACAGGCAGGAGGTAGGCTGGTATTTGACAATCAAGAATTACACAGAAGCACATTCCTATGCTGTACCTGCCACCGAGGAACACTTCTAGAACTATTTACCATGCATTAAAATGTTCTTCTGCTCACCTTTGTTTAATTGACCCAAACTAAGCTGTGGATCTATTCATGTTTAGAGGGATAGTTCCATTTTTTTTTAGAAGTGGGGTTCTGTGGAAAGTGTTTTAGCAGTTTGTGTCAAACACTTAACTGTAGGGTTGCATTTTTACATGCAGCTTACTAAAGGAAGCAATTTGCTTCTTACAAAGCAAATAATAGCAGTGCAAGTCCATGAAAATCTGATTGAATTAAGGGCAAATTTATATTAAAGTTTTGAACAGATTAATGTATTTCCTTATGTCCAATTAATTCTTTAATGTGTGTGGTTATTTAATTTCTCTATGGGATTAATAAAGTATTTCTCAATTGAACTAAATTGTTCTAAAAACATTAGATAATACTAGGTACAAATATTATAACTAAAATATTTAAGGTTATATTGCCTTTGCAGTAATAATTGTTTTTTTAAATAAAGGTAATAAGATCAGGCTTTATTATTCCCAACCATTTATGTACTTACCAATAACAAGAAACCACTGTATTTAAACTCTAGGGTGTCATACTCTGAGAGTCAATATTCTAGATGATGCCTAGACTCCTTATCTGCTAAACTTAGTGGTATCAGAAATTCTGTTATCCAACAAGCAGGTAACTGACTGTTTATAACAACTCCAAAGAACCCTGTTCAAAAACTTGGAACTTGAAAATTAAGGTCTATATTCATCTTTCTAAGGAGCCAGATATTGAAATTACTCTGACATAATTCTGGCAACAATATTCTTACATGTCTAGATTATAACAACTACATAATATATATATATATTTGCATCTGGGGCTATTAATGCAAATTTTATGATGATTGAAGAGTAAGCTGATAAAAAGAAATAGAATAGTTTGTCACTTAGTTCATACTATTGGACAGAAATAATCACGTATTGCACCTTTAGAGGGATATTACAGTATGACGTGGGATGTTTAATAGGTGTTGTGATGTGATCGCTATAACAAGAAACAGGCCAGCCCTTTTATTAGGTCAAAAAAAGGCGGCTGGATAATTTTTTTTCTCTATTTTACTTTTTTCATCACTTCAGTTATTTTTCTTTTTGTTTTATGTTACGCTTTTTGAAATGCTATCAGCAAAAATTACCAAAATTTCACACAAGTGTTGCTAAAATTCTTTAAGCACAGAAAGCAGAAGTCATCATGCATGACTGCATTTGTTCTAACAAATATATATAATATATATATATATATATATATATATATGTAGTTTAACAAATTTTGTGATTCTATGTAAAAAGAGCAGATGAATCCTAATTCAGGGTGACATTATGTGGAGCAGAATCCTTAATACAGTTTAAAATGTATGTTAAGTTCTTATCATTGTTATATTATTTTCATATAAATAAATCTTATGAAACAGAGTTTTTTTTCCCCCCTCTCTTTTGTGTGGTGCATCACCGCTTTTTTTGATGAGAATGTCATCAACATGACACACACAGATGACTAATGCTTAACAGAGCATCAGAGGAACTGCAAATGAAAGAGGGATCAGTTCAAAACGAGTTGAGCTGCAGCCATTTCCTCTTGAGGAATGTTCTTGATTTTTCTCGTTCTCTTTATTGAAACCTTTAATCTAACTGCACAAAGACATATTTCACTTACAAGAGCTAAGCCTAGACGGTTAAAATATGACCTGTGCGTCAGCTTTATGTTAGAGGGAAATATTGATCAGAGGGGTGTCTCTCCAGCTGCGACAGCCAGGCTTCCCCTTCACTGATCAGCAGTGCAGGTGGAGCCCTGCCATGTCCTCTGGGTCTTCCAAGTCCACCGTCTCCTTCACACTTTTAAGTAGGAGCTGATTTTCATGACAGCATGTGAGTACGTTTCTCATCTCGACTGCAAGCTAAGATCGATTTCTTCATGCTTCTCTGTTCAACTTGCATTGTGTCTATTGATTATTTTTGGTGGAGAAGAGAGAAAACAAATGCATGGATGAAATGCTAATGACTTTATATAAATGTGCATCCGCTCTCCTGCAAAATAAGGATGAAGAGGAGTGAACTGCAGCTGGGAAATTGGTTGCCTTCTAATAGATTACTTCTATTTTTCTTACCATTTTAATAATAATTTGAGTAATGATAACATGAGAAACTAGAAAAGGTATTTTTAAAACTGATCGTTTGCCTTATGTGACAAATGAATTGGCACCTAAACCCATTAACGGGTCTTGTAACACTTGGCAGAAATATGAAGCATTTGTGAAAACCTCACAATAGGTTTTAGAGCAGCCTGGTTAAGGTCTCGCAAGGACATCCATCTATCTTCTATCGCTTGTCTGTCAGGGTCATGTTGGGTTGGTACTTATCCTTTTTTATCTTTTGGGGTGAAGGTAGAGTAAAACTTGCAAGAAAAAATCAAGTTTAAGGGCAGACTTTGATCTTTGCCTTCCCTAAAACACCAACTGCAGTTAGGGTAAGATCACATTCAATTCCTTTTGAACTGTCTGTTAGAGGAAGTTGTGGTAATTGGTGTAGGTGATGAAGCAGCAAAGCAGCCCCAAACCATCACACAACCAACACCATGTTTAACTGTCAGCATGGCACTATCTCTGAAATAAAGTTAGTTTTACACCAAATACAAAAAGACAATCGTCTGAAAGGTTCTGCTTTTTCATTTTAGCTAATTAAATGCTTCCACTAATGTTTTGGCTGCCAACAAGTGTAAGAAGGGCCCTTTTGCCATTAGGTCATCATTTTTGACCTTGAAACTCTCTATATGGGCGCCATTTTGCCTATTTTCTATCTTGTTGAATCATAAACGCAGAGCAAATCTGAGGCAGTTGAGAATTGCATTACCGGTACTTTAAATATCCTGAGTTCCTTACCCCCTCTGCAGAGTCATCAATATTACTCCCTCTTAGAGTACCTTTAGTATGCAATCCACTCCATGCAAACTTTGCCACTGCTCCATGTTTCTCATTTTGCGGATAATGTGATTTGCTTTTGTTGCAAAGCTGTAGAAGTTGCTTAGTAAACCTCTCCAAAGGGGCATATGTCAGTTAATTTTGACTTAATCAGTTGTGTGATGAGAAAAATGTGACAAATAAAAGAAAAAACATTTTAATCCAGTTAAATTTATTATTGAAATATAGGAATTACTTCTTTATTTTCCATTTAAAACTAATGGCACTGTTGTATTTATTCAGTTGTACCGTATGTTAAAATGTGTTTGAGGACTTAAACCATATAAGGGAGTCTTGGAAGCAAACAGAAAAATGGAAAGGGGAATATCATATATATAATTGTTCACAGTAATTGACAATAAAACCAAAACAAAAAGTTAATAAATACAAAAGGGAAAAAAAAACAAGACAACTTCACTAATCTAAAAATAAATAGTTTCCTTAAAATACGTGTATTTAACTTAAACTGAATAGGTTAAGACAATCTGCCAATGGAATTAGTATCTACTTCTCCAAACAAGATTGTTTAATATAAATAGGACAATAATTAGACTTGAAATAAGACAATGCAATAGCTTTTTCTTATTTAAATGTAAATTGTCTTATTTATTTGGCAAAGTGTCTCACTTAACTGCTTGATTCAAGAAAAAAAAATGCTACTATTTTAAGAAAATGTACCTACTTAGCTTTCATTTTTTAGCAGTGTTAAAAAAATCTCTAAATATTTAGATGTTTAGTCCTAATTAAAGATCTATACAAAGCTCAATGTATATCACAAGAGGTGTCTCACAGTGGAGAAATGGCATAGGTAACAAAAACATCAGGGTCTTTTAGTACCACTATTATGGTGATGAGAATAAATCTAACCAGCCATGATGCATCTTGCAGTATTTTAAGAGCCAAGTACTTTAGAAAAGCCTGGAATTAGCAGGTACGGTTTGTCTATGAAAATTAGAGTGATGCCCTTAACCACAATAGCCTCTATTCTAATCCACTGCTTAAGAGTCAGCTGGTGTAGGAAAAAGGCTTGTTGATGCTCATCCAAACTTTTGCTGCAAAGCATTTGGACATGTCAATAAGGTAGGAGAGGAATATATTAGAATCTTTTGTTAGATGAAACTAAGACTGAACTCTTTGGATGTCATTGTGCACAGTTTATTGGAAGGAGGACTGTGACTTTAAATCCCGCACAAAACCAAAACGATTAGGAACTGTATGTTGCATGAATATAATGTTTTGCAAAGTTTTCTTATTGGCAGACTACATTGCTTTAAAAAAAAAAAGGTTGAATGAAGAATTTTCTGAGACATTCTTGATTAGAATTAAGGATTAAACACAAATATTTTTCAAGGAGACATGATGCTAAACACCCAGCTGAGAAAACTCCAGTGGTTTAAAGCTGTTGTTATTGCCATTAATGCAGTTGGAAATCTATTAACATAATTAAATTTAATTTGCCAAAGCTTTTAATATCTAAAGACTTTGTAGAACAGAGCGTTTAAAATCCTAAAACTTAAGATCTTCACTTATGCATTAGTTACATCTTGTCATTTATGCAGCTGTTTAGTTCATCTGAATGAAATATTAGGCTTTGAATCCATAAAACCAGGGTTCAGTTTCAGATCAGTGCACTTTTATTTTATTTTAGAAAGCAAGTTCAATACTTTTTCTTTCATTAGACATAAGTGCTGGACTTATTTGTAGCGATTTCTTTGTGTTTGCTGATTACTGGGTTGTTTCTGACAGCTGATGTGAATTTTATATCAAAAGGCTCATTAAAAAGTGTATTTGCTGAGAAAAACATTGATGTTTTCAGTCCATATTTTCCCAACGTTGGATTGAAGATAGAGGGGGTAAATGGGGCGGGAAGAGGAAGCTCAATTAAAAGTACGATGATGCAAGAACGTGCAAAGTCTCAGCAAAGGCTTTGGATGTCGGCCTACTCTACTCAAATCTGAGTGAAGTTGAATATTTTTTTTTTCTCCAAAGCTTCAGATACACTTGAAGACGTTCCTATACTGCTAATCCCTCCCAGCAAAGTCGTTCCATTGGCAGGTACCTTGAGCACGCAGACACCCACAGGATGGAAGATACACGGCATATCAAAAAAACACCCCTGTTCAAGTAGTGCTTTGCTGGCATGATGGCCACACACGCTATAGGGATGTCTTGTCAGTTCCACTTTCCTTCATTTCAAGGTGTTTGCAAAGATGTTGCTCTTCATTTCATGCAATTTCTGTTTGTCTCCAGGGGAAAACACAGGAAGAACCCAATTACTCAGGAGAAGTTAGAAAATAAAAGAAATGAAATAGTAGCACCTTGGAAGGGCTCAATTTTCTCATTGCAAAAGTTGCTGCTAGGTTAAAAATTCTTAAATTATATTTTACAGACATTTTTCAGTTGACTCTCGGTTTAAAAGTGATTAAAATGGAGCAAAGTTTGCTTTGTATGTATGAAAATTTCAGTTAGAATAAAAAGACCTGATTAAAAAAAAATACAATCTGAAATATAATTTTAATATTTTAAGTAAGATTTTTAAATGATTTAAAATCTGAGCTAATTTACAACAGAAAAGAGGCTAATTTACCAAGCTCAAAGAAAACAAAAAGGGAACATTTTCTTCGCTAAGGAGGCAGAAATTCATTGCCTTGTTAAAGCTGAGGCTTAATCGTTAGGAAGAGAAATGTCAGACCAGGTTAATGAGTTTGTAAAACTATTTAATTCCTCAGACATGGTTTCAACAAAGGGTGAAAGCCTTGTGAGCAGCAGATTTACACTTTGTTGGAATAAATAACAGGAAGATTTTCATCATGCAACCACTCAGTAATATATTAGGATTTTTTGTGATAGACCAATACATATATAACTGTGGAGGGAAATTTTACAGTTGACAAATTCTTCACAATTTTTTCACACAGATGATATTTTTTCCATAACTAAGGCTGCAAGTCTATACATACATACTATCTAGAGACCAGGTATATAATATGGTTCTTTAATTTTCTAATTTCACCAAAGATCTTCAAATGAATCAGTGTGAACTCTGACTGGTCTGTTGTAGCTGATGAATAAGGGATAATACCCAATGAGATGTCCATTATGAGAAATGAATGGACAACATATTGGTGTTAGCTGTCCAACACAAAGGTAAGTCCATTCATTTATAATAATGAGCACCTTAAAAAGCGTTATCCTGCTTATACCACAGTTACTTATAAAATAAATGTGTATTAAATCAATTAATCTATTAGTTTTTCTTTTTTACTTCTAAAATAATATGTTTTACAAAAAGTTGCTGTGTCGATTTTAATTTTTTTAAGACATATCTCCTTTTGATGAGTTGCCAAATTAACTGACACCCAACAGCCAATCAGAACCCAGTATTTACCCAGGCCAT